AAATTTTGCAGCAACAGTGGTTTAAATGGGTCCTTCTGATGTGACCTCAAATAAAGAGACAGTGTAACCCTGTGTTTGAAAGAGTGGGAAGCAACAGGATGTAGAATACACTGGTTTCCATCATTATTTTTGTAAACTGGAAATTTGGGGCATTTGTCACCCTTTCATTAATTCATAAATCTGTATTTTTAGACTGTAAGTAAAGGCAAACACATAATTTGCATCCATCTGTCTCAGTGCCAAGGCTTTTCTCAATGTGAAGCAGTCTTTTCTGTATTGTATAAAAAATGTGATGTACATTTGAAGTTTAAAACCTGCTTGTATTCTGTCCACCTCATTGCATTCCTAGTGTCTCTTAACTAGGTCAGTGAGTGTGTGCTGTGTGCACAGAACTGTGGTATCATCAGACCTGTGATGCAGTATTTGAATTCCAGCTGTACCATTTATATTGACTTTAAACAAGTTAGATAATCTCTTGGAACTTTTGTTCATCTAAAAGATAAATATAATGATGCCAATTTTAGAGCGGTCTCAGCCTGAGTTACCCTGGAGGCACAGCCCAAGACAAAGGCTGACGTGCATGTGACTTATTTGTGAATGTGATCCCAAGGGAGCAGGAATATAGGACTGGGAGTGGGAAAGAAGGGAAATCTAGTACAAAGATGAGTTATATATTGTGTTCCCATGCAAGTTACTGGTGCTCAGTCCTGCCAGATCCTTTTTAGGAGTCTTATGAAATGAGACCCAGAGCAGTCTAATGAGAAGAGAAAAAGGAAGGAGTTAACCATAAACTCTCATACTCCATTGCTCAAAGGTGGTCCTACAGGCCTTAACTTCCACACTTCCAGGTTGACAAACTGGAGTGCAGAGAGAATTCCTGTGGGCATCGGCTATGGAGTTAGAGAGCTTCAGGGCAGATTGCCCCATCTTCCTTCTGCAGAGCAGCAGATGGGTTTGAACCACCAACCTTCTGGTTAGCAGTCAAATGCATTAGGCACTGTGCCAAACAGTAGGCAGGATTTTAAAAGGAGATAATGGATTCTCTTTACCCTAAGACCTCTGTTTGTCTTTTAGGCCACATCCTTGGATAATCTCATTAATTCCTTTGGCTGGCATTACCTCTAGCCCAGACCTCAGTTCAGATATTTCTGTCCACTTGAGTGATCTCCAAACCAAACCAGACCAAACTCACTGCCAAGGAGTCAGACCCAACTTATAGCGACCCCTTTTTGGGTTTCCAAGGTGGTATCACTATGGAAGTAGATTGCCCAACCTTCCTTCCAAGAAGTGGCTGGTGGGTTTGAACTGCCAGCCTTGTGGTTAGCAGTCAAATGCCTTAGGCACTACACTATCAGACCAGGTACCTTAAAATCAACAGTTCTGACTAGTCATCTTCCCCTATTTCATCCCACATCCCTAATCATGTCAGTAAATGAGACCACCATCCCCCTAGCTGCCCAAGGGAAAAACTTAGCATTCATACTTGTTCTCTTCATCTCCCTCATGCATATTCAGTGCCCACATCAGGATGCATTACCAAATCCTATCTAATCTGTTTCTTTAATAGCATTCAAGTAACTCTACTTCTTTACATGTCTGCTGCTACCAAAGTCAGGCTACCGTTCATTATCTTTTACCTGGGTTACCAGGACTGCCTTCCTTACTTAGCTAACTTAACTGTTTCTTAGCTAACACCTCCACCTCCAGTCTTGTTTCCAACAAATTCATCCTTTTCACAGGTTATTCCATGATAAGCACAGTATCTGACCTGCTTCTTGTTGTTATTTCCATCGAGTCAGTTCTGACTCATAGTGACCCTGTATACGATGGAATGAAACACTGCCTGGTCCTGTGCCATCCTCACAATTGTTCCTGTGTTTGAGTTCATTCTTGCAGCCACTGTGTCAATCCATTTCAATAAGGGTCTTCCTCTTTTTCACTGACTCTGCTTTACCAAGCACGATGTCCTGCTATAGGGACTGATCCCTCCTGATAACATGTCCAAAATACATGAGATAGGTTTCACCATCCTCACTTCTAAGGAGCATTGTGGCTATACGTCTTTCAAGATTGTATGGTCAGTAACTGAAACCCCCCAAAATGGCTCTCAGATTCCATCTTGTTTAGCCACACTTGTGAGAACTACAAGCCATTTCCCCACTCCCTCCTTGTCACATATTCTCCTGCTCCCCCCTGTCAGGTATTAGCCCCCTTCCCTATAATGTATTAACCCACCCTTGGAATAGTTTTAAGCCATAGAGCTTGCTAACAGCAGCATCTTTTCAGAGCACAGACAGGTGGTGGTCGTCGGGCACTGCCCGGGGCTCCCTCCTGATCGGGGCCAGTGCCACCAAGTCTGAAGCCCATCACATAGCCCTCCATTCCCAGTCATAGATAGCCCCATTCCCAATCCCTCAAACTCAGTTATAAGCATCTCTGCAAAGTAGGAGGAGGTTAGCAGTCATCTTGGATCCATTCCGGCACACTGCCACTGGACATTGCTTTGCTAGCAACATTTGTAAGCCTGCTTTCTTTGTCTTTTAAATCCTTTCTCTCCTGATTCTCTTTCTTTCTATTCTGAATAAATGTTCATGTCTCTGCCTATGCCTCTGGGAAAGTTTTTCAGACTTTTGCTACCTACTCAGGAGGAAGTTTTAACCTCCTTAGAAAATTCCCATAGCAATTACAGATTTATTTGTTCTTCTAGCAGTCTGTAGTATATTTAGGATTCTTCACCAACATCATAATTCTGAGGCATCAATTCTTCTTTGGTCTTCTTACTCATTGTAGTGCTTTCATATGCATATGAGGCAATTAAGGATACCATGGCTTGGGTCAGATGCACCTTAGTACTCAAAGTTGTGTTTTGGTTTTGAGCACTTTAAAGAGGTTTTTTGTAGCAGCCACTCCTCAGAAGGAAGACTGGGCAATCTACTTCCACAGAGATGCCACCTCAGAAACCTAAGGAGGGGTCATTATGAGTCAGAATTGACTCGATAGCAGTGAATAATGTGGTTTTTGATTTTGGTTTGGTTTGGTTTGGTTTGGGTTTGTTTTGGTTTCGGTTTTGCAGCAGAGTTACCCAGTGCAGTACGTCATTTGATTTAACTGTTGTGTCTATGGGCATTGATTGTGGATCCAAGTAAAATGAAATCCAGACAACTTCATTCTTTTCTCCATTTATCAAGACATTGCTTATTGGTCCAGTTGTGAGGAATTTTGTTTTCTTTATGTTGAGTGCAATCCATACTGTAGTCTTTGATCTTCATCAGTTAGTGCTTCAAGTCCTCTTCACTTTAAGCAAGCAAGATTGTGTCATCTGCGTGTTGTAGGTTGTTATTGGTTCTTCTTCCAATCCTGAAGCCGTATTCTTCTTCATAGAGTCCAGCACTCCCTTCCTGATTTTAAACCATGTGGTAGCCCCTTGTTCTGTTCGAACGACAGCCTCTTGGTCTATGTACAAGTTCCTCATGACACAATTAAATGTTCTGGAATTCCCATTCTTCTCAATGTCATCCATTATTTGTTATGATCCATACAGTTGAATGCTTGATTTTGTAATCACATGATGTCCAGCTAGAGAGACCATTAGAGATTATCCTCTTAAGTTACAGATGGTGAAACTGAGTCCAAACAGGGCAAGTGAGTTGTCCAAAGTTACACAGAAGACCCTCAATGAGATGGATTGACACAGCGTCTACAACAGGGAGCTCAAACATAGCAATGATTATGAGGATGGCACAGGACCAGGAAGTGTTTCATTTGGTTTTATATAAGGTTGCTATGAGTCAGAACTGACTCAATGGCACCTAAAAACAACATAAAGAAATAAATTTATTGTGTTATTCAAAATTTATTTTGTGTCTTACAATTTATCAATCCCTTTCTTATAAATTCTAGGAACAGGAACTTTTAGAAACTTTATTTTATTTTTCTTTAAAAAAAAAGTGAAAAACAGCTTTATATTTACATCTGAGTGGTCATGAGAAATATGAGAAGAGAGGATAGTTGTGATTTAGAAAGATTTCTCCCACTTGATTTGTGACTGTTCCGTACATATACTGATCTGATTATAAAATCCCCCATCTTCTGTCCACCATGCCAGAGAGTCTCCCCAGTTTCAACTAAGGAGATATCCTGCAGTAAGAAAACGTGCGTCCCACATGGGGAATTTTCTGACTTAGCTATCTCCTTGCTTCCCTTTTCAAATGGGGCATGTGCACTGACTGTCCCACTTACCCTCACCTTCCATCATGCACATGTCAGTTAATTCCATCTCAGTCAGTTATGTTCTAATAGAACAAAACCAAAACCAGATTCATGGCAGTCGAATCAGTTCTGACTCATGGTCACTCCATGTGTCTGGCTGTATAGGGGTTTCAAAGCTGTGACATTTCAGAAGCAGATCACTAGACCTTTCTTTTCTTCCAAGGCACATTTAAGGGGATTTGAATTGCTAGCCTTTTGGTTAGTAGTTGAGCATTTAACCATTTAAACTACCCAGGGACTCCTGTTCTTATAGGTAAAACCTTGTAAATAAGCTGAACTTCATCCTGAGCATTATGTCCTAGTAGAAGCTAGCATGTGAATTTGTTTTCAATTTGGAAATCAGTTTCGATTTTGAAATTCAATAATAACATTTGTACCACTGTTCTAGAGATGATTTTTTGTTTGTTTGTTTGTTTAATGTTTGGAGAATTTAGCTTTTTTTTCCTAATATTTTAGTCAATGAAAAAAAAAAAAATTTTTTGTATATTAAATTGGCAACAGTTATATCAGTATTTGACTCTCTGGTTATGTACATCATTTTCCAGGCATAAACTCATTTTTTTTCAATAAAGGAAGAGAAAATTGTTCACGTTGTTAATTTGGTAAAATAGCCTCTCTATTAGGTAACGAGTAAGAAGAAGCATAAATTGATAAACTGGCTGATACTGAGAAAATTGATCTTTTCTTTTTTTTTTTTTTTAACTTACTTTGTCCAACAAAATATTTTTCAGAAGTGATCACCCACTGGCTCAACTCTACTGTCATTCCATCATGGAGCACCATCATTTTGACCAGTGCCTGATGATACTTAATAGTCCAGTAAGTACCTAATTTATGGTTGTGGAATTTTAAAACAGAGCTTTATAAATTCAATTTTATTTTTAGATTTTGGATTTGTTCCCAGCATCGTAAATTCTTGAACATACTTTATCCCTTTTTGGGTAAGGACGGCAAAGCCTAAACATTTGAAATACTCAATCACTGCACTACACAACCAACACTGTCTAAATGTTGCCTGAAGTCATGGATTTCAAAAATAGGTGTTATAAATCCTAACCTCTATGCTTGTGCTTATATTCCATTTGAAAATGAGTTGTCTTTGTTATGTTAATGAGGCAGGATTAGTGTAGGGTTTATCTTGAGTCAGTCTCTCTTTTTTGAGATATAAAAGAGACTAAATGCAAGCTAGCAAGCAGAGGCAGGGGAAGAGAGATGTCCAGCCACATGAAGGTCGCCCAGGAGCAAAAGATAGAAGAGACAAGGACCTTCCTCCAGGGCCAAGAGAAAAAGAAAACCTTCCTCTCAAGCTGCTACCCAGAATTTGAACTTCTAGTCTCCCAATCTATGAGAAAATAAATTTCTGTTTGTTAAAGCCACCCATTTGTGGTATTTCTGTTATAGTAGCACTAGATAACTAAGACACCTGCTGAGGGAAATTTGGTTACGCAACTAAATGTGGTTTTGATTACTCCAAATTAGAAACCGACAATTCTAGCATTTTTGTGTCTCTCAGCTAATTCTTTTCTCCCTCTACCCCAAATGAAGTAGCTTATACAGATCTAGGTTTTACAAGACAATATCTGTTCCTCTTTTTATTGAAACTTCTAATCACTAGCCACCTATTTGGATAAGAATTAAAGCCATATATATATGCTATTATACAATTTGGTTAAGTGAATATTTTATCAATGTAAGAAATCATATGATATGCTATGCCAAACATATTAATGTTATAGTAAGAGTAAAATAATATACACCAACGAAAAACAAAAAGCACAACGCACTGCCATGGAGTCGGATCCAACTCATAGTGACCCCGCTTGGGTTTCCGAGGTGGTATCACTACGCAAGTAGATTTCCCAACCTTCCTTCTGAGGAGTGGCTGGTGGGTTTGAACCGCCAGCCTTCTGATTAGCAGTCAAATGCTTTAGGCACTATACCACCAGAGCTCCGTAAAATATACACCAGCATGCTAATAATAGTTGTCATCTAGAGAAATTATAAATAATTTCAATTTTCTTATTTTTATTAACCCATTATTTATATTGTCTGGTGTATGCATGTATTATCTTCATAATAACAAAAAATAATGAAAGCTGTAATTATTATGTTGACTAAGCACAATGCATGGGATATAATTTTAAAGCTATTGTATCACTCTCTCCTTAAGTTTGCTCAGTAGGGCTAGCTCTTCTTTGGCCTCCGGAAGAAAACTTAGGGAATTCCATAACTTTCCTGGTCACTCTTTCATAATAAAGAGCTCTCTAGTTACTTTAAGAAGTCCCCAGTATATAGCATGTAGCTCTCAATTCGGAAACCAAAATGTCCAGTCCATGTAATTGTCCAAATTTTGAACTTGATTTAAAATTTTAGGTTCCCTTCTTTAGTGCTATCTTTGACTTCTCTCTTTCCTTACCTTGTGTTTCCTCACCTCCCAAACCCCCATTTAGTGTCTTACCCCTCCACAGATGGAGAATAGGAAGGAAGAATAGGTGAGCAGAGGGGCAAGAATGTTTTTAACGGACTGTCACTGGTATTAAAACTGTAGTTCTTTTTCTTAAGCGTAATCTCGTAATCCTTGCAGAGAGCCATTCTGGGGGATGGCCTACCTGACGTGCCCTTAATATGAGTGATCTGTCTGGCTTACCACCTTGTGGCTCTTCCCTCAACTGCCAGGAATTTGGTGGTTCACTTTCAGCTCCTTCCTACTAAGGCCCCTCTGCTCCTTCTTGGACAAAACAAGCCTTAAATTGACCCCAAGTCCAAAAAACTCAGAGAATGCAAGCTATATCATGTAGTAGCAACCTCTCCTTCACTTGTGCAATCAGAGTGGCTAGCCAGCCTGTTTCTTACCTTTTAGAGTTTCCAGACAGAAATCAGACACAAGTCCACTATAAGCTTTTCACTTCTACCCCACCCATCCCACTAAGCTAAAGCAGAGAAACAAAGAAACTTAAAACTCCTTTCTTTGACTTGAGGTGAAGAGAAATGCACTCTCACCCCTCCCCGAGCACCTCATAGTAGTGAAGGGTTAAGAGTCATACAGCCAATATTTGGCAACCTACTTTATAAATTCTGCATATATGGTCTGTTGTGTGCCATCAAGTCGACTCCAACTCATAGAAACCCTATAGGATAGAGAAAAACGGCCCCATAACGTTTCCTAAGTGGTAATCTTTGTGGGAAAAGACGCCAGCTCTTTTCCTTTGAGGGATCCTTGGTGAGTTCAAACCACTGACCTTTTAAATTAGCAGCCAAGCACTTCACCACTGCACCACGAGGCTTCCTTGCGTATTTTATTACATCATGTGATTGTATAATATTAATTAGTTCGATACTGATGGGGAATAAGGAAATGATGTTAGTATAATATGGAAGTGGTATTATTTCACGCAAGAGTTTTCTTCGGTAACAGGTACCAGAGTAGTGGGAGTAGAATTTTGACCTTCAGGAAGAAAGGAAAAAGCTTCAACTTGGCTCTTGCATGTGCAGCTTTTTCCATTCTGTTTTAAGAATTAAATATGGTCCAAAAATCAAGAAATAAAGTGATGCACTGCATTGGGCAAATCTGCTGCAAAAGACCTCTTGTACACTGTTAAAAAGCAAACATGTCACTTTGAGGACTAAAGTGCACCTGATCCAAACCATGGTATTTTCAGTCACCTCATATGTATGTGAAAACTCAACAATGAATAATGAAGACTAGAGGACTTGATGCCTTTGAATTATGGTGTTGGTAAAGAATATTGAAAATACCATGGATTACCAGAAGACTCAAGACATGCTTTACACTAATCCTGACTCATTAACATAACAAAAACAATCCATTCCCTAATGGGATTATAACCACAGGCATTTAAAAAAAAACAGACTCACTACCTTGGAGTCAGTTCTAACTCATTCCAACTCCCCTTGGGTTTCCAAGGCTGTATATCTTTACGGAAGCAGACTGCTTCATGTTTCTTCCTCTGAGCAATTATTGGGTTCGAACCACTAACCTTTTGGTTAGCAGCCAAAGCCTTAACCACTACACCACCAGAGCTCGTTAACCACAGGCATAAACATTAGGATTTACAGTACATTTTGGGGAAACCCAATTCTATCTGTAACAGTGCTTCAGCTAAAATTGTCGTTTTAATATCTTGCTTTTAAAGAAAGAAAATATGCTAACCTTTTTATTTCAAAAGCAAATTTAACAGTATTCTAATCATATCTGCCTCTATTTTATAACTTACTATGTAATATGTTGTTGTTGTTGCTTGCCGTCGAGTCGGCCCTGACTCATAGCTACCCCTCCTTGGGTTTCCAAGGCAGTATCACTACGGAAGTAGGATTGCCCAACCTTCCTTCCGAG